GTGCAGTGGCACAATCTAAGCTCACTGCAACTTCCGCCTCTTGGGTTCAAGCGATTCCCCTGTCCCAGTCTCCCGAGTAGCTGGGATTACAGGCACATACCACCATGCCTGGCTAATTTTTGTATTTTTAGTAGAGACGGCGTTTCACGATGTTGGCCAGGATGGTCTCCATCTCCTGACCTCATAATCCACCCGCCTTGGCCTCCCAAAGTGCTGTGATTACAGGCGTGAGCCACCACACCCAGCCAAAAGTAAAGTTTTTTTTTTTTTTTGAGACGGAGTCTTGCTCTGTCGCTTGGGCTGGAGTGCCGTGGCTGGATCTCAGCTCACTGCAAGCTCCGCCTCCCAGGTTTACGCCATTCTCCTGCCTCAGCCTCCCCTGTAGCTGGGACTACAGGCTCCCGCCACCTCGCCCAGTTAGTTTTTTGTATTTTTAGTAGACACGGGGTTTCACCATGTTAGCCAGGATGGTCGCGATCTCCTGTCCTCGTGATCTGCCCATCTCGGCCTCCGAAAGTGCTGGGATTACAGGCTTGAGCCACCGCGCCCGGCCAAAGTAAAGTTTTTAAAAAGATTTACTGCTGCTTTTCCATTCATAGTCAGTAAAAAAAAAAAAAAATTCTGAGACAGGGTCCAGCTCCGGTCACTGAGGCTGGAGTGCAGTGGCACCATCAGCGCTCGCTGCAGCCTTGACCTCCAGGGTTCAAGTGATCTTCCTACCTCAGCCTTCCAAAGTGCTGGGATGACAGGCATGAGCCACTGTGCCCAGCCATTGATTTTATCCTGCAACTGTGTTTGCTCCACTCAGCAGTCTATCTAGGAGATCTATCTACATTACTCTACGGAGATCTCAGCGTACCCTTTTCTCTGCTGCGTAATACTCTGTCTCAGAAACGGGTCACCATGGATTTAAACATTCCCCTACATTGGAACATCTAAGTGGCTTCTGATTTTCCTTATCGTAAAGCCATGCTGCAGTGAACATCCTCATGCAAACTTCTCATGCTGATGGGTGGGGAATAAATGCCAGACAGGGCATTGCTGCACTGCAGATCAGTCAATACACAATTGCTATTGAGAGAGATCATCACACTGAAGCCTGGTTTTCCCACCTCATATTCAGTACGTCCCAGAGGAGAAAACTTTTCAGTTTGTAAATGCGTCTTCTCCTAATCTCCAAGAGGAGACCCACAGAGCTCTTTTCTCTCTTAAAAACAAATCAGCAGGCCAGGTGCAGTGGCTCATGCCTGTAGTCCCAGCACTTTGGAACGTCGAGGCAGATAGATCATTTGAGGTCAGGAGTTTGAGACCAGCCTGGCCAACATGGTGAAACCCTGTCTCTACTAAAAACACAAAAAATTAGCCAGGCGTGGTGGTGCATGACTGTAGCCCCAGCTACTCGGGAGGCCGAGGCAGGAGAATCGCTTGAACTTGGGAGGTGGAGGTTGCAGTGAGCCAAGATCACAACACTGCACTCCAGCCAGAGTCTCGCTCTGTCTCAAAACAAACCAACAAACAAAACACAAATCAGCAGCCAGGCACAGTGGCTCATGCCTGTAATCCCAGCTACTGGGACGGATCACTTGAGGCCAGGAGTTCGAGGTCAGCCTGGGCAACATTGTGAGACCCCCATCTCAAAAACAAAAACAAAAACAAAAAGCCCCCACACCCCAAATGACACAAAAAGCACAGACAATAAAAGAAAAAAATTGATAAACTGGATTTCATCAAAATTAAAAACAAAATTAAACTATTTAAAAGAGTGAGTAATCTCTGTCTGGACCAACCTGGAGGGATTTCCAGGCAAGACCTATGGCGAGACTGCGCCACCTTCTGGACAAGGAAGGAATGGAAGCGGGGGATGGGGACAGGAGGGAGACTTCTCTGCAAAAAACTCATCACGATTTTGACTTTTGAACCATGTCAATGTTTTACAAAATCAAAAAATAAAACAAAACAACCCATAGTCCCATATCAACAGATCTGCCTCTTTTCTGTCTTCTCCCTAATGGGCACAAGGTGATGCCTTGAGTCTCATGGGATGTGTTACTTTAAAAGTCAACAGGGAAAGCTGTATTCAGAAAAACAGGGTCAGGGGTGGGTGGCTCACACCTGTAATCCCAGCGATTTGGGAGACCGAGGCAGGAGGATTGCTTGAGGCCAGGAGTTCAAGACCAGCCTGGCCAACATGGCGAAACCATGTCTCTACTAAAAATACAAAAACTAGCCGGGTCCCAGCTACCTAGGAGGCTGAGGCATGACAACCACCTGAACCCAGGAGGCAGAGGTTGCAGTGAGCTGAGATTGCGCCACTGCACTCCAGCCTAGATGACAGAGTGAGATTCTGAAGAAAAGAAAGAAGGAATGAAGGAAAGAAGGAGAAAGAGAGAGAGAGAGAGAGAGAGAGAGAAAGAAAACCACTGTCAACATATACACACATACCCCAAAGCATGCAATCACAAGAGAGGTGTTCACATGTGTGTTTAGCAAGACCCACTTGATGGCAGGGCTTGGTGGCTCACGCCTGTAATCCCAGCTTCGTTGGGAGGCCGAGGTGGAAGGATCATTTAAGCCCGGGAGTTCAAGACCAGCCTGGGCAATATAGTGAGATCCCATCTCTACAAAAAATAAAATTGAAAAAATTAGCCAGGCATGGTGGTGCCTGCCTAAGTCCCAGCTACTTGGGAGGCTGAGGCAAGAGGATCGCTGGAGTCCAGGAGGTTGAGGCTGCAGTGAGCTATGATTGTGCCACGGCACTCCAGCCTGGGCAACAGAGCAAGACCCCATCTCAAAACAAAAAGAAAGTTTTTCACCAAAGTGACAGGGAAACTTAAGGTCTGTTCACATTGCCTGATGTAAATTATCCCTCAATTTTAAATAGGGTAATAGTGGGGAGCCGCTTGCCATACAGTGTATCTGGCACTAGAAGGAAGTGCATGGCTGGTAATCTGGCTGAAGTCTCAGCCTCTGAACGCGCTCTGTTCCAACAGGGCTGGATGGTTCTCCTCCGGGAGAAGGGGCGCAGGGCACCCCAAGTCCCACATCACTTTGCTGGGAGCACACCCGGCCTCACGCACCACCAGAGCATATACCGTGAAAGGACGGGGCTCGGGCAGATGCCCCATTGTCTACACCCCATCTACCTGACAGGACCCCGCCGCGCAGCCTCGTCTGACCGATTCCCCTGACCTCGCGACAAAGACCCTCTTTGTTCCCTGGTAATATCCTTAGCAGGTCTGTCTAGACTCACTGTGGCAGCAATTGTCCTGTGATGTTACCAAGTTCTGTGACCCGGGTCCTCCTCACCCAGCTTGGGCAAGAGACGCCCCAGACGGCCCTGAGCCCCAGAGCTCCCCGGCCCTTAACACGCACCTGTGCCTCCTCAGAAGAGAAACACAGCCAGCGCCCCAGTCCACCCTGAGAGAGAGGGGAGATGGGACACACAAGACACATGGTGCCTCCTGTTTGGGGTGCTGGGGGTAGCCACCATCCCAGGAAAGACAAGGGGGGATCCCCTCTGTACCCCCCCAACTCCCACCTCCTGAATACTGTGGGTGGGAAACAGTTCCACCTATGCTGTGGGTATGACTTCACCCAGGGGATGGAGAGAGAGGATCAGAAGAGACGGAGACAGGCCGGGCACAGTGTAATCCCAGCACTTTGGGAGGCCGAGGTGGGCGGATCACAAGGTCAGGAGTTCGAGACCAGCCTGACGAATATGGTGAAACCTTGTCTCCACTAAAAATACAAAAATTAGCTGGGCATGGTGGCATGCACCTGTAGTCCCAGCTACTTGGGAGGCTGAGATGGGAGAATCGCTTGAACTCGGGAGGCAGAGGTGTCAGTGAGCCAAGATGGCACCATTGCACTCCAGCCTGGGTGACAGAGTGAGACCCTGTCTCAAAAAAAAAAAAAAA